TCACTGTTTACACATTTTGCCTGATTTGTCGGGTCCCTGATTATAGTCTAACATGCTTCCTTATCGTTTAAGGCCTGAAACATTTTCTTTACATAGTTAGTCATATCCATAGCTACTATCAATCCTAAGGGTAGCTCTCTTCTCTACGTTGAGTTAGTGTAAGCTCACTATCGTTTAACTATTCAATTTTTTGTTAGTATATAAGAACTTAAATTCTTCAAAACTTGCAATTGTTTATATGGCCATTGATTTCCACACATTACATACTTCCGGCAAATTCAGAGTGAAACATTTGATCAGATTTCTCATGGCTTTGAATTCATTAGCCTTACTTAAATTGAGAATCTGTTGTATCATTTTTATCATTTCAGGTATAAAAATCTTTGGAATACTTAATCCAGAGTGGTGCCAATGTCTTACTTATTCAAACCGTTTATGACGGAGAGCCTGCTTTTGTGACCTTCATAAACAGCTCTTCAATTTACAATTTGTTCTTAGTCGTTTTTGGTAGCATTTCTTATATTTTTGAGCTACCTTCACTTTTTGACGTATGTTGAATTACTTGCTATTTAACTGAATAGTTAATCAATTACCATAAAATGACATAAAAAATACTATTCTTTCTCATTCCTTCAGACCCTGGCCTCTCCTTCAGCATCCACCTCTCCCCTCAAGATTTCCAACTTCCTCGCTTCCGTCGAAACCGATTCTTGTGAACCTCCATTCCTTTGCGAAGATCTGGATCACGCCAAATTAGCCTTAGCCGACCAAATTGATGGTGAAGAAATAAGTGGCCGAGTCTCTGACCCAGGTGTCGGCACTTCGGTAAACTCGCGTCTTTTAGTCCCTTATAGGACTTGTAATGTGGTGTCTAAGCAAGTAACGAACGCTGATCTCTGTTCCCTTAGACAGCGCCTCTATGCTCCCGCAATCTACGGTGCCGTTTGTCCGCCATCCACTATTGACTCTGTCTTAGAGAAAGCAGGCTCTCTTATGTCACTAAAAGATTCTTCTGCAAGCCTGCTTCTGCAACAATTTAGAGCCGATTCTACCCAATCTGCATTACGAATCATCACTCTTTCCGGAGCCAATCAGTTGGCGACAGGCCTTGGGCTAATGCCCTTGGCTTCAAGTTTCAATATCCAAGAACCCCATTCAAGGAATTCGTCTCTTAATTGCCCAGTCCCGCTTCGCATCACTCAGCTTCCGGTAGCCATCAAACACTCATGTTTTGACCTATTTTCACTTAATCTACATTTTTGTATTTGAGCCAGCTTTACTCATATGTCTAGTATGGCGAGAGTCTACGCCAATTGCTAGGGACAACTATCTAAATTTCAAAATTTGAATAAACACTTTTTTATGGGGCTTGCAAACCCGAAGCATAGAGTCCTGCATCTGGAATACCTAAATTTATAAACCTGTTTTACTCATGCGTAGTGATATAATTTTTATCCTTAATATAGATTTCATTAGCAATATGTTTGAGTTCGAATAACATTTTAACGTATTATTGCATTATTGTTTTTCGTTTTTTCTAAGGTTAAAATGTTGGCCTCTTATTTCAATCTTTTTTTGCTAAAGTACAACAAAACCTAGTGCTGATCCAGATTTTTATTTGCTCCATTTGGATGAACTTTTTTTTATATTGGTTACTTTCTGCCATAGCTACAGCATTTAAATTAATTACATGTGTTTTACTTTTTATTATTTCTTAGCTTATTGGTTAGATATCTTTGTATTATTTCGTTATCCTTTCCACTTGATATGAGTCCATGATTAATTGATGTTTAATTGGGGTTACTTGAGATTTTAGCTTGCCATTTAATTCATCTAAACTTGTATCAGAATTTTTTGCGTCATGGTTTCGCTTTTGTTGCACCAGCCCATCTATTTTGCTCTAAGACGACGTTGCTAAATACACTGCCTCTGGGCAACGTTAATAGTGAAGTTTCTTACTTTTGTTAGACTTGATAAGTAATGATGTTGCGATCAGTGACCAAACTTAAAGTTTATACGAAGAGTAACTGGGTTTCGATGAATCTGAGATAACATTATTGGCGAGACTTTCGTTTCGTAAGAACGATATTCGAAGGTCGATCTCACCAGAGGACGACGGCCAATTCAGCCGTTTGGCTTTAATACAGGATTCAGGTTGACAGTCCATGAGGCATCCTCTCTGGCTTCGGGTGGAAATGGGCTGAAATTTCGTCCATCATATGCTGGGCGCCATCAGAGTCGGCACTAATTCATGTGAAAGTCTCACGTTAACAAGCACCAAATCAATACTTTTTCGTTTGTAAGCTTATTGCTATTTCGTTTTTCATATAATCATATCAAGAAGACTGTCCGGCTCTATCTTACCTCTACCAACTAAAAAGCGAAAATTAATAAGCATAGATATATATAGAATAGTTTGGCTAATTATGTTTCATATTGATCATGCTACTTTCGCTCTAGCGTTTGTGTGATAGCGTCTATATGCAATACTGTTCCAACATCAGTGATCAAAAAGGCTTGTTATGCTCTGACTATCAGGGCCTACTGACCCAAGAATAAACCTTTATCGAGACTGCTTAAGTCTGCAAACAACTATGTATAAGATAATGAGATGTAAGCTTGTAAGCGTGCAAATAAAGTTGCGAAATCACCTGTCATAAATTCTCAGTCAAGGATCATTAAGGTTTAACTTCCAAAGGAAAGGCATGACTGAGGCTGCGTTATTTCGTACTTCTGGCTTGGATGATGAGCTTAATTTAACATTTTGAATGAGTGGGAAGGAAGCTAGAATCATCACTGAATGGACAAGTTGAGTCGCCTTCTTTTGGATGGTGGCTCGATACCCTTTCTATCTTTCAATCTATCAATCAAGCATACGTAGTTCCTACTCAACTTTCTACCACCGTTCCTTACATTCAACGCATTTTCTATGCTATTAATTTCAATAGCCTCTCTTATCTTCCTTTTGACAACAGCCGTACCATAATCAGCAAACTTCATCGTCTGGGACCATTCTATCTCATGCCCAGTCTCTGGCATGTGCTCGGCCACTTCTGACCATTGGACCCAGCTGTGTGTTCCCTCAATCTTTCTCGAATGGGCCGGCATGTCTCACCAACATAAGGCCGACTACAGGAGTACACAATCTTGTGGCAGCCGAATCTCCATAATAGGTCATATTTCTTCCTGAAAGATGGCATAACTAAAATGGTTAAATGGTTCTCTAACCACTGTTTTTATTCCTTTTCTCTTGCTAGTTTGCCTAGCCTTTTAGAAAGAAAGCAGGATGGAAAAATTAGGTTATAACATTTCTTCGTTTGTCGATCTTTGATTAAATAGCCTTTGCCTGAAAATGTATTCATCAGTACAGAGATATTATTTTCAATTATGCTAAAAAGCTAATTATTTTCCAGGCATAAGTCAGACATTCCAACTCTGGTCAAATGGTTGCTATCCACTGCTCTCATACTCTTAATAGTCATTGACTTCAAAATTCCAGTCTTATTTTTGTAATTCGTTGGAAAGAAGATTTAGAAAGGAGCCAAAATTTGTTGATTTCTTTAAATATCTCTTCCTAACTTGCCCTCTCCTCTGATGATCACAACTTTCTAAGAAGATAAGGACCTATTCTCTTACATTTCCAGTGTGAAACTAATGTCCCTTTCACACTGGTTAAGTGAAAACAGGAGACAATCTAAGCTTTCCTTATCATGACAAAATAGTCATCCATATATGTGACCAACAATGTGAGGATTA